CTCGGGGTGGAGATGAAGGTCCTCTCCTGGCTGGACCGTGTTCCCAGGGAGTGTCCCAGCCAAGTCCTGCGATTTCAGCCCCAAGCACCCCAACTCCTTTGTGGTTCCCTCTGCTATATGAGTATCACTCAGCGCCGCTGTGCGGGTCCAGAGCAGAAGGGAGTTGAGGGTCGGTGTCGGTGTCGGATGTGACCCGTTCTCTGGAGTGGCCGATACTTGTCTGCGCCTGGCTTGGCCGGGTCTGTGTCCACAGGAAGACCAGGTGTGTCACCTGCCGCTGGGCACGTGGACTAGCTCGAGCTGATCCTGCCGTCTGCGTGGGCTGGAGACCGTGGGGTGGGTGTCTCGCCGCCCCGGGGTTCCCACTGCTGCTCGGTGTGGGTTCAAGTGCATTCTCTGAGCACAGGGTTCTTTGCCTCTTAGGACACTTCTTGCCTACTTCTACTTTACTTTTTTATTTTCTACTTTCGTGTATCTTTTATTTTAAATAGGTCCTTCGCACAACATCTCGTAGGATCTTGTTTTCTTTTTTAAAAATCCGATCTGAGATTTCTGGTGTAAGTTTAACTCATTTATCTTCATTGAATCCTCATCTATTGGGTTTCTTTCTCCTGTGTTATTTATTTCCCACTTATTTACTTTGTTGGAGACCAGTTCCCTCTGCTGTGTCCCCACGCACCCCAGCTCTGTCCTGGCGTCACCGTGTCCCCGGCCCCATTCTCTCTCAGACGCGGCCCCCACGTGGCACAGGCCTGTTCTCCACGCCTGCCCGCCCTGCCCCAGTGCAGCCGGGTCTGGTCCACAGTTCGGGTCTACTTCTGGTGTCTCTCGCAGCATCTGCAGCGTGGACCCTCACAGACACAGACACAGGGCTCGCACCTGCTCGTGCCAGGCACCCAGCCTGCGTCCTGGGCACAGGGAGGACGCAGAAGCTTCTGTGTGAGCGGCTCATGCCCACGCAGCCTCCACCCTCCTCCGGGGACGCCCTCAGCCTGGCATCGAAGCAGCTGTGCTGGGTGCCAGGGCTTGTGGGGGAGGGGGGCGGGGCTTCCCCGGCAGGCACTCTGCCACTGCCACATGCCAGCCACAGTCCCATTGCTGCAGATGCCGCCCACGAGCGTAGGGGACCCCCACCCCAAAGTTCTCAGTGTAGCTTCACGCGTCCCATGACCCTACTGCCAACGTGCGGACTCCCTGGTTCACGCTGTGGCCGGGCTGACTCCCTGGTCTGACGGGGACTGAGGAAACCCTGGAAGTGGGGGCATAGGTCAGAGACTCAAAATTCCAGCAGACCCCTCCCCTGCTGTACCCAGGATGCTGACCACGGAGCCGCAGGGGGGGTCTTGGCTGCTGTCCGCTACGCGCTGCCCAGTGAAGGGCGCTCCTCTGGCCAGTGGCCCGGCTCTGCCACTGACATACCACAGGGAGACGGATCGCTGTCCCCAGACCTGTGCACAGGAACGGGGATGAGGGACAGAGCCAGGTCCCCAAGGGAGACAGACTGGCCTCCCCAGGAACACTGTGCCTTTTCCGAGGTGCAGCGCCCCCACAGCAACCCCGAGAGGAAGAGTGGTTCTGGAAGAGTCTCCCCCCCCCCCCAGGCAGGCTCCTCCCCCACCCAGCCCGGGCCGACTTGCAGCCAGGACTAGTGGGAATGTCTCCTGCAGCCCACTACGCAGTGTTGTTGGGGAGCATGGCGCTGGTGATGAGGCTGCTGGGGAGCCTGAGGTGCCCCCTTCACCAAAGCCTGGGGCTGGGCACCCATCCCCTCGCCAGGCTGCTGGTCTTGAACCTGTTCCTCCTGGTGGCCCTGCCATCTGCTGGCCTCTCAGGGGGCATCAGCCTGGGCCCCTGCCCCAAGGTTCAGCCCGCAGGCAGCTTGGCTGGGAGCTGTGAGGGGCTGGTGGCCAGAGGTGCTGCGCCCCAGGCCCCAGGGGCAGAGGGCCCTGCAGGCCACCCCTTTGAGGCTGGGGCTTCAGTCACCAGGGAAGGGACACAGGGCAGCCCCAGTTGTTGGGGAGGAAGCGCAGGTTCACCGGATTGGTTCCTAATGGCCCTGAGCCCCACACAGCCAGCAGCCAGCGGAGGTCACAGCCTTGCCCCCAGAGAAGGCTTTCACTGCGAGGAGCCAGGAGGAGGGACCTGCCCCCGTGGAGCAGCCAGGACGCATCCGCATCCGCATCCACTACATCTGTTTGCATCCTGCTTGCTCGGCAGCCTCCCCACGCACGGCCAGGCCTGGCCTTGGATGGAGGCTGCAGCACCTTCCTTTCCAGAGCAGCACAGTAGTGGTGGCCGCGGGCAAGCGCCCTCAGGGTCCATGCTGTCCCTGCAGGGCCGGAGGATGGGGCAGGGGTGTGCGAAGAAAGCCTTACCGGCCATCCTGACAGCAGAGGCCCCAGAGAGGCCTCCTCAGGAGCCTGGCTTCCGGGGGCCTGTCTGCATGGTCACAGCCACCCTGCTGCTCGCTTGGGCTGAAACCGGACAGGGAGCAGCAGAGATGCTGCACAGGGCCACCAGCTCCACGTGGGGCCTGGAGCTCTGCCGAGTCTGCACCGTGCTGTGTGCTGCGGGCCTGTCCGCCCCTGCCTGTCCTTATGGGCACCAAAAGCAGCCCCTGGGGTCCAAAGTGTCATCGCCAGACCTCCAGAGAGCAGGCCGGGCAGCTGTGTGCCTGGCTGCCGGGCAGCACTCCTGACCCACCATTTCTGTGCAAAAGGAGACGTTGCCTCATGGACAGCTGTCCCCCTGCCAAGCGGAGCAGGGAGCAGCCAGGGCCCGGCGCGGCCTGCCGGGGTGCACTGGGCCAGCGCAGGACGACTCTGGAGACGCTAGGGGTGCCTGCAGCCATGACCCCGCCTAGCTGACCCTGGAGTGCAGCCTCATGGGCCCTTTTTGAAAGTGTATCTTTCATTAATTTTATCTCATTTAACCAGTTTTTAGGCTTAGATGTCTATAATCACTCATCAAAAAGGGGTTTCAGGCCCTGGCTGGTTTTGCTCAGCGGTTAGAGCGTCGGCCTGCGGTCCAGAGAGACCCGGGTTCGGTTCCCGCTAAGGGCACGTACCTCGGTTGCAGTTTGTCCCCGGCCCTGGTTGGTCATGCGGGTGGCAGCCACTCGATGTGTCCCTTTCACGTCGATGTTTCTCTCTCTCTCTCTCTTCCCCTCCCTCCCACTATCTGAACAAAAAAAGGGGGGAGGGGTTTCAGGGTAAGGGCAAGGAGGCCTGGGGGCGTGTGTGGGTTGTTACCCCACAGAGGGGAGGACGCGACAGGACTGGATGAGGAGGCCTTGCCCCTGAGCCCTGCCCCCCCCCCCCCAGGGAAGGCTCTGGAGAGCCAGGCGGGGGCTCGGAGGGGCCCCCTCTTCCCAGCAGCCCTCAGAAGCCCAGGCAGCCCGGACAGTGTCTCTGAGCCACCAGGGACCTGGACAGTGCTGCTCCGGGCAGGCCTGCGGCCTCCCCCTCCACGCCCGGAGCAGCCAGTGAGGAGCAGGAGGAGCCCTGTGCCAGTCCTCCCTCAGGCCAGTTCAGAACCCTGGCGGGGCTGGCAGAACGGGTCAGGTGAGGAGCCAGGCTGCGGTGGGGGCGCAGGTCAGGTTACTCGGGTCACAGACCGCAGGGCAGTCACAGCAGAGTGCTGGGGGCCAGCAGGCCAACAGCCAGCCTGGAGCCTGAGCCGGGACACCCTGCCCTGGGGGAGCCAGCTGCCTCCTGAGAGGGATAAAAGCCCAGCCGGCCTCCCAGGGAGCTCGGCCCCCAGCAGAGGGTCTCGGGGCCCAGACTGACCCGTCCCCGAGCCTCACTCTCTCCATCGGCACCCAGGCACCGAGGTCAAGCCCGTGGAACCCCTGGCAGGCCGGTCCCTTGTGTGTGGGCAGGGTCCTGACCCCACCTCCCCACTGGTGATCCTTCCAGAAGGAACCAAGTGAGCAGAGATGGGTGCCAGGTGGCAGGAGGAGCTGACCAAGGTCAGGGCCGTGGGTTTGCTTGTCCAGAGAGTCCTGGCCAGTGTGGCTCAGCAGTTAGAGTGTCCGCCAGGGGACCGGAGGGTCTCAGGTTTGATTCCTGGTCAGGGGCACGTACCTGGGTTGCAGGATCGATCCCCAGCCCCGGTTAGGGTCATTCTCAAGGCCGATCGATCCATGTGCCTCTCACGTCGATATTTCTTTCTCTCGCACTCTATCCCTCCCACTCTTAAGAATCAATGGGAAAATACCCTTGGGTGAGAATGAACACACAAAACGGGGGTGGGGGGGTGGTAGGGTCTGTGCGTAGAGAAGAGGGAGTTCACAGGGCGGGGGCTGGAGAACCAAGGATACATCAGGGACTTGCATCTTGCCCCTCCAGGGCCAGCTGCTTGGAGACTGGGCAGCAGCAGGAGGGCTGGGTCTGAGGGCACCGGAGGCAGGCGGTGGGCTGTGTGAGCCTGGGAGGCCACGGGGGCCAGGCCTCAGCTCACGGCCTCCCGCAGCCCCGCCCCTGCCAGGCCTTTCCCTGCCCAGCTGCCTTTCCTCACCCTCAGGTCCCTCCGTGCCACCCACGCTGGTGCTGGCCAGTCCACCAGCCCTCCCCACAGCGGTGAGCCCGTGCGGACAGTGGGCATCACCCGGGGTCTTGCCCCAGCCCACTGGCCTCTGTGGGGCAGAGCCAGGACTGAGCCTGAGTCTCACAGCCGCTCAGCAGTGTCCTCGCTTCACAGAAGACACACTGGTCGTTCTGAAACCTGGGGAAGTAGAGGGAAGTTCGGAGGATGGAGTCGGGCTGCTGGGCGGTTGGAGGCACCTGGCGAGCAAGGCCAGTGGGCAGGGCGATGCAAACAGCAGGCAGGCAGTGGGGGTCAGTCAGCCCTGCCACAGGGCCCACGGGGCCAGTCAGGAAATGGTGGTGACAGGAGACTGGTGCCCAGCGGAGGGGCAAGCCCAGGCCTGCGGGCACCGGGAGAGCCGTGACTTCCTGCCTGGATGTAACAAGGCCTTTCTCCGGTTTCTCCTCACCTAGGGGCGCTCACAGCACCTCCCGCGGCTGACAGCCCACGACACCCCGATGGGAGCCCCGTGGAGACGCAAGCCGCCTTTGCCATCAAAGGGATGAGAATAGAAGCCCAAGCCAAGGCCAAGCCTACTAGACCCTCCAGGGCTCACCCTGCAGAACCTAAAGGCTGCCAGCAGCCCCCGAAGATCCGGAACTACAACTTCAAGGACTGACTTTCTTGGATGCTCCCCCCTCCCCCCACCCTGCTCTCCTCCAGTTTCACTCCCCTCCCCCTCTTCCCCTCCCCCTCCCATCCTGCTCTCCTCCCCTCCCCTCCCCCCTCCCCCTCCCATCCTGCTCTCCTCCCCTCCCCTCCCCCTCCTCCTAGTTGGTTTTTGGGGTGTGCTTTTGTCTCAACAGCAGGGGTGTGGGTGTGTGTGTGAGGGTGCATGTGCACACCCCGGGGCCTGTGAGCCGCAGCTCAGGCTCCCCAGTGCTGCTGGGGTGCCTCACAGACAGTGCAGAGCATATTAAAGCCTCCCCCTCCTGCTGTCCGAGGCTTTGTTTACCTGTCCTACTTGGGAAGAGGCATCAGGGCAGCTCGGCTGTGTTGCGCCCATAGCCGCCCACCTGTGTGCTGCTGGGGCTCAGAGTGCCCACCCACAACGCAAGCATCCCCCAGAGCGCGGTGTGAAGCTGGGTGACCCCAGATGGGGCCTCTGCTGGGGGGGAGGTGGCCCCAGCCCTGGCACCTGCAAGAGTGAGAAACAGTAAACTGAGCTGCTCACTCCCAAGTGCTAGAGTCACAGCCCCTTCCCCCACCAGGAAAGCTCATCCCAAGAATCTCAACCACAGGTCCTGACACTTGGGACTCTGCTAAGTCAGAGGCCACATGGGGAGGTGGCCCTGGGTGCCTCGGCTCCTCCAAAGCCCTCGGCCCTTTCCTCCCCTGGTGCTGGCACCTGACTGGCACAGCCAGAGGGCTCCAGCCTGCAGCACGGCTGAGGGCTAGAGGCGGCCTGTCCCCACCCCAGGTGGACAGCCTGGGCAGCCCTGAGGCGTTCCCGCCAGGAGGGGGGAGGGCTGCACCCCCCCCACCTGCTGTGTGGGCTTTGTGGCCTCGGTGTCCTCTACCTGCCTGGCTCCCAGGCGTGGGGACCCGTGGGCGGCATTGGCACAGGGAACTGCGAGGCAAGGCCGGAGCTCACAGACCCACTCCCCTCACTCGGCCTGTCGCTGCCCCTTCAGCCCCCTGCGACCGCGCGGGCGCGGCCAGTCCCGGCAGCCTCTGCCCCTCTAGAGGGGCTGACCGTGCGACTTCCTTCAGTGAAAAAGGGGGTGGGGATGCCCGGTCCCTGTCCGTGGGAGCGCTCCGGAGCCCAGAGCGAGGCTCCGACCCGCGCAGCAGCTCCGGCTCGGCGCCCGGGGTCGGAGGAGCAGGAACAGGCCGCGGAGAGGGCCCAGGGCAGCAGCCAGGTCAGGCCTGGAGCGCTGGGCCCTCTCCGGCCGCCCTCGCGTGCACGGCGCGGGCAGCAGCCCCGGGGAGCGGCGGGCAGGGCCGAGTCCGTGAGCGTCTGAGCGGGATCCCGAGGGAGGCGAGCCGGGGGCCGCTGCGCGTGCGTGGGTGCGAGTGGCCATGTGCGCGCGCGAGTGTCGGCCCAGGGAGGCTCCTTTGTTCGCATCACCAAGTGGCGTCCGCGCAGAGCCCGCTCTCCGGATGGCCGCGCCCCCTCCACGCGGCTGGCTCCGGGGAGCCGGGATGCGCCTGCGAGGCCACTGCCGGCCCCGGAAGGGTTTCTGGGTTCCCGCGCCGGCCCCGCGAAGTGGGGCGGCCGGGCAGGAAGGACCAGGCCCGCGCGGCGCTGACCGGCAGTAACCCCGCCCGGGGCTCCTTGGCCAGGTCAACGACCGCGCTCGCCCGCGGCGGCCGGCGCGACGCCTAGGCCGGCCCATCACCCTATCGCCTAGCAACGCCCACTCGCGCGCCGCCATTGGACCGGCGCGCGCGCCCCCGGCCCCCGATTGGCCGCGGCTGCGGAACGAGCCACGCCCCAGCCGGCTCGGCGCGGCCCGGACGCGGGCTCGTGCGTCTGTCTGCCGGGGAGTCCGTCTGCCCCCCCATGTGGCCCCAGTGTAGCCCCAGTGTGACCCCCAGAGTGGCCCAAACACACCGCGTCCCGTTTCGCCCGCGCGCTGCGCACACATGGCCCCCGCGGCGCCGGGGGTGGGGGCGGCCGCAGGAGGCGTGGGCCGGGGGCGCGCCACGTGCCCTCCGGGCGGGGAACGGAAGTCGGGGCCCACCAGCCCAGCGCCCCCCGGGCGCGCCCCCGCGCAGCGTCCCGGCGCGCGGCGGGGGCGCGCGGCATCACCCCACTGGCGGCGGCGCGCTGGGTCCCGGGGCGCAGCCCCGACGCTCATTGGCCTGGGCGGCGCAGCCAAGCTGTCAGCCCATGTGGCGTGTCCGCGCGGGGACGGCCGCGGTTAAATAGAGTCGGCGCCGGCCTAGAGGGAGCCAGAGAGACGGCAGTGGTCCGGCCTCTCCTCCGCAGCCGCGCTCCATCCTCGCTCTCCGCCGCCCGCCGCCCGCGCCCACACCAGGTTCCAGCGGCGGGGCCGGGGCCGGGCCGGGGGCCGGGGGCTGGGGTCGGGGGTCGGGGGCCGGGTCGAGGGCCGGGGGCCGGGGCCGGGGCCGGGTCGGGGGTTGGGGGCCGGGGGCCGGGGGCCGGGGGCCGCGTCGGGGGTTGGGGGCCGGGTCGAGGGCCGGGGGCCGGGGCCGGGGCCGGGGCCGGGTCGGGGGTTGGGGGCCGGGGCGGCTGCCGGCCCGCATCCTCCGGCCCCGGGGCGCGCATGGTCCGCCCGTGGTGAAGAAGGGTCGCCCGCGAGGCCTCCCGGGTTCCCGGCCCGATCCCGACGGGTGTGCGAGCCGCTGCGGAGCGTGCGGGCCGGGCGGCGGGGCAGGTGGGCGATGGCGAGGGGGGCGCCGGGCAGCGCCGCGAACAGCCATTTTGGTCTCGGCGAGGCCGAGGGCGGGCAGGAGCCCCCGCTGCCCGGTGCGCGCCGGCCCCGCGCCCACAAAGGTCTCCATGGGGGCTGGGCCACTGAGCCCCTCCGCCCGCGGCATCGCCCCCTCGACTGCTGGGTAGCCCAGGCCCAGCCCGACCTTTTCAGCCAACCGGAGGGCCGGGAAGAAGGGAGGCCGGCGGCCGAGCGGCCTCGGAGCCGGGTGGGGACCGGTCTTCCCACCACGTGGGCGCCGTCCCGAGCCCCCGAACTTCAGGTGGGGGGGTGAGCGGCCCGGCCGCCTGCGGCGGCGGCGGGGCGGGGCGCCCTGCGGGGGTCTCCACCCCGCCCCCACCCCGCCCCCGCCGCACTCCGCGTGAATAGCAAGTAGAGGAAAACAGAGCCGGCGCTTTCTGAAAGCGGCCGCCGCTCTGGAGCTGGTGCCCTGGGCCGGCAAAGGGCTCTTTATTCAGCGCTGGGGGAGGGTGCTCCCTCCCTGCCGGGGCAGCGGGGCGCTAGGCCACCCAAGGAAGTCGCTGCTGTCCTGCATTCGCCTGCCCGGCTCAGAGAGACCTGGGAGGGCCGGGATCGGCGTGTGCGTGGGTCATTAGCCCCAAGAGGCCCTGGGGCCTTGGTGAAGTTGTTAGACCGACCTGGCTTTGCCCCCTTCCTCCGGCTGCACAGGATCCCCCCATCCCACACCCACAAGATGGGGGCAGGGGCCTCCCTCTGGAGATGTCTCCCGGACCTGGGTCTAGATGGTCAGGCAGGCTCCCCAAGGAAAACAGGCGGTGCCCTGCAGCCTCACCTGCGCAGGTGTATAGGTCTGGGCAGCACTTGGGTGGCACCCGCCCAGGAAAGGTTCTGCAGGTTGGCCCACCATGGGACACAGGCCGCCTTCCCCACAGAGCCCTGCCGGGTCTTGGCACCCATAATGCTCTGGCTGTCTCTTTTGGGTTCCTCCCAAGTCTTGGCAGCTCCTGGGCACCCTCAGTGGCATCATGGCATGGAGAACAGCCTGGGGTGCTGAGTACAGGGCTTCTCAGTGTCGACTGGTGTCTTCCCAACCCAAGTTTTCTTTCTCCAAACGTTGGTGCCCTCCTTTGCCTGCTTGATTCCCTGGGCCAGCTCTTAGCAGGCTGGGCAGGGTTGGGTCCTTTCTTTGGATGGCCTTCCTGGGGGCACTGCCTGCTGGGAGGTGGGCACAGGTCAGCAGGGCCATGGTGGGGTGACCCCAGGCCAGGGCCCCAGATGTGACAGGCCAGTGCCAAGGCCAAGTAAGAGGTGAGGGCCTGTCGGACCAGCGCTTACCACCCACTCCCCCCCCCACACACCCCCCCAGGACATTCATCTGGCCACGTGGCCCTTGGTCTAGGGCTTTTTGAGCTGCTCCCAGACCCACGAGTGGGCCAGCTGGAGGAGGGTGGGGCTATGGGGCTCAGGGAGCCAGGGGTTGGGGGTGCTGCGGATTATTGCCAGAGGGTTGAGCTGAGTGGTGCCCGGGCCCTGCAGACAGCAGCATGGAGGAGGTGGTGATCGCCGGCATGTCTGGGAAGCTGCCCGAGTCGGAGAACATGCAGGAGTTCTGGGCCAACCTCATCGGTGGTGTGGACATGGTGACAGACGATGACCGGCGGTGGAAGGCCGGTGAGTGGGCAGCCTGCTCAGCATGCTCGCCTCCCTGCTGCCTGGGAATGCCTGGCTCTCCTGGAGATGGAGCTCGAGTGGGTTCTGGGCTCCAGCCGCAGGAGGCCAAGGGTTGGCCCTGGTGTGCATCCTTGCCCATGTAACAGCGGAGTTAGGTGACCTGCGGGGTCCAGAGCTAGCGGGCAGGGGCAGGGCAACACCAAGAGGGTCAGCACCCTCGTCTGCCCACAGCCATCCCTGCAGAGCCCGTGGCCACTGCTGGCCCCACGTTTCTTGGCTAGCCGAGCACCGGCTCTCCGGGGAAGCTGGTTTGACGCCCTCATGGTGACTCGCGGGTGCAGAGCTGCTCTACCTGATCTCCAGGTGTGAGTCAGCCTGGCGGGGCCCAGCCCAGCGGAAGCCAGGCAGAGGGTCTGCAGGCAGGGCGGTGGGGACTGGAGGAGCCGCTTCCACCTCGTGGCCCTCTGCTCTGGGGCCACTGCCTGCCTCCAGGACGTGCCCGTCTCCCTGTGGGCCCCTCGGGGACTGTGCTGTTCCGCAGCAGGTGCCTCCCATCTGCCCATGTCTGCAGGGCTCTATGACTTGCCCAGGCGGGCTGGCAAGCTGAAGGACCTGTCCAAGTTCGATGCCACGTTCTTCGGGGTCCATGCCAAGCAGGCACACACGATGGACCCCCAACTGCGCCTGCTGCTGGAGGTGGCCTATGAGGCCATTGTGGACGGAGGTGGGTCTCCGGGGCTGCGGCACCACAAGTGTTCTCGGCTGTTTCCTTGTGAAGGGAGCACGTGTTCAGAGTAGAGCTGAGCACAGCGAGTCCAGCAGGGGGTGCTGCGCCGGGCTCTGTCTGTCCCTGGTCGGGGCTGCCAGGCCTGAGGCTTGGGAGGCGCGGGCCCTTGGGCAGGTCTGGTTTCACAACTGGCCCGGGGTGTCCTGGGCGTGCCCTGATGCCCCAGTTTTCTTGCTCTCATCAGAGGGCTGATTTTGGGGTGAGGGCCAGTTCTGTATGTAGGAGACAGTGTCCAGCCCTTGGGACTCCTACCTAGGTTGTGTCTGGCCCAAAGGTGGTTGTCTGTTGTCTTGAGGCACAGACTTGCCTTGCTGTGCCCTCCCACCCACGAGAAGGGGCGTGTGGCTGGCCCTGACGGGGAGCCTGAATGCTGTCCGCTCTTGTCTTTGGTCAGCAGGCGCACTCCCTGGGGGTGACACTGGGCAGGACAGGCCGTAGCCACGCATCTCTGGGAATAGGGGAGGCAAGCAGACCCTGGTAGCCTCCCCAGTGCCCAGGCCATACCCTGAGACCTTGGATGTGCCCTCCTGGGGCTGGCCAGGGTCCCTCCCTCTTTTAAGAGCGTGGATACTCAGCCTTTGTCATCTTCTGTCCCCTTATCTTGCCTGTCCCAGGGCAGGCCGCCCTTGGGGCTTGGGTGTTCATTGGCTCTGGGGCTCGCCAGACTCTGCCAGCGACACCAGGGGCCAGGGGAGGGGCCTGGGGACAATGCTGCCCTCTGTCTTCACCTCTGCCTGTGGCCGCTGCCAGACCCAGACCCAGACCCAGAGCTCCAAGTAGCACCACCTCCCCTGGCCCCACTGCCAGCCTTGGGTCCCCGTTTCTCGTGACCTGGTTACCTGTTCGCAGCTCCTTGGGTAGCCCTGCTTGACTGCTCTGGTCAGGCTCGGGGGGGCTCCCTCTCAGGGTCGGCAGTGGGCAGGGCGAGGCCTGGCACTCTGACCACTGCTCCCTGCAGGCATCAACCCAGCCTCGCTCCGAGGGACGAGCACTGGTGTCTGGGTGGGCGTGAGCGGCTCGGAGGCCGCTGAGGCTCTGAGCCGGGACCCTGAGACGCTCGTGGGCTACAGCATGGTGGGCTGCCAGCGAGCCATGATGGCCAACCGCCTCTCCTTCTTCTTCAACTTCAAAGGTGGGTGCTCGCTGTGGGCCGGGCCCCTTGCAGGCTTGGCGGCCCCAGGCTCACAGCCCTGCTCTGTGCCCTGGCTGCAGGGCCCAGCATGACGCTGGACACCGCCTGCTCCTCCAGCCTGATGGCCCTGCACTGCGCCGCCCAGGCCATCCGCAGCGGGGAGTGCCCTGCGGCCCTCGTGGGCGGCATCAACATCCTGCTCAAGCCCAACACCTCAGTGCAGTTCATGAAGCTCGGCATGCTCAGCCCCGAGGGCTCCTGCAAGTCCTTCGACGAGGCGGGTGAGGGCGCTGGGGGGCAGGCACAGGGCACCTCCCCCCCCGCCTCCCCACACCAGAGCAGGCGCCACCCCTGCCGCCCCTGAGCCGCCCTCTGTCCTCAGGGGATGGGTACTGTCGTTCGGAGGCTGTGGTCGCCGTCCTGCTGACCACGAAGGCCCTGGCCCGGCGGGTGTACGCCACCATCCTGAGCTCTGGCACCAACACTGACGGCTTCAAGGAGGAAGGTGGGCACTGGCTGCAGTGGTTGAGGTGCTGCTGGCGGGCAGTGGGCGGGGTGCTGACCCCTGGCTCCCCGCAGGCATCACCTTCCCCTCTGGAGAGGCCCAGGAGCAGCTCATACGCTCCCTGTACCAGCTGTCGGGGGTGTCCCCCGAGTCCCTGGAGTACGTCGAAGCCCATGGCACAGGCACCAAGGTGAGGCCCTGCCCACAGCACACACCTGGGCTGCTCTACCGCAGTCCTGACCCTCCCGTGCCCCTTGCAGGTGGGCGACCCCCAGGAGCTGAACAGCATCGACCACGCCCTGTGTGCCGCCCGCCGGGAACCCCTGCTGATCGGGTCCACCAAGTCTAACATGGGGCACCCCGAGCCTTCCTCGGGGCTGGCGGCACTGGCCAAGGTGGGGCCCTGGGCCGGGTTGGGGTGCTGTCCACTGAGGCTTGGCAGCAGGGCGTGGGCGTGGGCGAGGCACTGCTGAGCACCTTGGCTCGGGGCTGCAGGGCACAGAAGTGGCTGGAGCAGCCCCAGGCAGTTGGCTCATTCCCGTGGTCTGAGCAGCCGGTGGGGAGACAGGGCAGTGGTCACCCCCAGGATCCTGGGCACCATCCCTTGGGCTCCTAGGTGTTGGGGCTCCCTGGTCTGCAGCTCTCATGTCAGGACCTAGAGGGGGTGTGGCTGAGGGGACCTTTGTGTCCAAGCCCACGCCACTCTGGGAGGTGGTGGGGCACGGGAGGGGCATGAGGCCCAGAGAGGTCCAGAGTCTTGAGGCAGACCCTGCATGGCAGTGGGGCAGCGTGGAGCCCTGCGGCGGGCCCGTGGCTCGGCCTCGGGGTCTTCAGGCTGCACACTGCCTGCAGGTGCTGCTCTCCCTGGAGCACGGGGTCTGGGCCCCCAACCTGCACTTCCACAGCCCCAACTCCCAGATCCCGGCGCTGCGCAGCGGGCGGCTGCAGGTGGTGGACCGGCCCCTGCCCGTGCGCGGGGGCCTCGTGGCCATGAACTCCTTCGGCTTCGGCGGTTCCAACGTGCACCTCATCCTTCAGCCCAACGTGCGCCCGCCCCCGGCCCCCGCCCCCCACGCCGCCCTGCCCCGCCTGCTGCTGGCCAGCGGGCGCACCCCCGAGGCCGTGCAGGGCCTGCTGGAGCAGGGCCAGCGGCACCGCCAGAACCTCGCCTTCGTGAGCATGCTCAACGACATCGCAGCCGCTCCTGTCGCTGCCATGCCCTTCCGGGGCTGCGCCGTGCTGGGCGACGAGGACAGCGGCCAGGTGGTGCAGCCGGAGCCCGCTGGCCCGCGCCCACTCTGGTTCATCTGCTCTGGTGAGCCCTGTCCCAGGCCCTCCCTGGGCGCGGGGCAGCTGGGTTGGGTGGCACGTCCCTGAAACCTCTTGCCGCACAGGGATGGGCACACAGTGGCGTGGAATGGGGCTCAGCCTCATGCGCCTGGACGGCTTCCGAAAGTCCATCCTGCGGTCTGATGAGGTCTTGAAGCCCTTTGGCCTGCAGGTGTCAGACCTGCTGCTGAGCGAAGACGAGGCCACTTTTGACGACACCGTGCACGCCTTCGTGAGCCTGACAGCCATCCAGGTGCGTCCTCGGCCGGGCGGTGGGGAGGAGGGAGGCCTAGACCCATGGCCGGCGTCCCCAGGACTGATGTGACGTGTCTGGCTCCCTAGATTGCTCTCATAGATCTGCTGACCTCCATGGGCCTGAAGCCAGATGGCATCATTGGGCACTCGCTGGGTGAGGTGGCCTGCGGCTACGCCGACGACTGTCTCTCTCAGGAAGAGGCCGTCCTGACTGCCTACTGGAGAGGCCAGTGCATCAAGGAGGCCAACCTCCCGCCAGGGGCCATGGCGGCCGTGGGTAGGCGTTGCCCTGTGCCCTCGTACAGACACGGGGGCCTGGGGAGCTTGGGACCCAGCGCACTTGCCGATGGTTGTCAGCACAGGCCGGTGTGGTTTTTACATGAGACTGAGTTGAACCCATGGGGGCCTAGGAGCAGCCCAGGAACCTACAGGACTTTGACAGTGTTAGGGTCATTAATCCTGGCTCCCCTCTGTGGGCAAAGGAGCCTTGGGCATTGTGGCCGAGGAAGGGAGACCCGTGGGGCTGTGGGGGCAGCATCTGCTCAAGACGAAGCTGGCGGGCAAAGTGTCTCGCAGAAGCACTGCTCCCTCCGTGGCTGGCAGCGCCGAGCCTGGCATCGGCTGCTCTCTGAGGCCGTCTCTGCCCGCAGGCCTGTCCTGGGAAGAGTGCAGGCAGCGCTGCCCCCCTGGTGTTGTGCCCGCATGCCACAACTCTGAGGACACAGTGACCATCTCGGGACCTCAGGTACACACTGGCAGGCGAGGCCTGGTCCTCTAGTCCCCTTCCCGACCCTCAGGGGGAGCTCTGCACACGGACCCAGCCCAGCCCAGGACCGACGCCCTGCCCTGTCCCCACCGCCCAGGCCTCCGTGTCTGAGTTCGTGGAGCAGCTGAAGCAGGAAGGTGTGTTTGCCAAGGAGGTGCGGACGGGCGGCCTGGCCTTCCACTCCTACTTCATGGAGGGCATCGCCCCCTCGCTGCTTCGGGCACTCAAGAAGGTGGGTCGGCCACTCCTGGGGCAGCCCAGAGGGGGGGCAGTGGACCCGAGCACCCTGGCGCTGACCCAGCAGCTGTGTGCACAGGTGATCCGGGATCCTCGGCCGCGGTCCCCGCGCTGGCTCAGCACCTCCATCCCAGAGGCCGAGTGGCAAGGCAGCCTGGCCCGCACGTCCTCGGCCGAGTACAGCGTCAACAACCTCGTGAGCCCCGTGCTGTTCCAGGAGGCTCTGTGGCGTGTGCCCGAGCACGCCGTGGTGCTGGAGATCGCCCCCCACGCCCTGCTGCAGGTGCGGTCCTGGGGCGGGTCTGTGGCTCCGGGGGGCTCTGTGCCCGGGTCAGCCTCTGGGCAGGTGGGATCTACTAGGGCCCAGCGCAGCTGTGTCCCCCACAGGCTGTCCTGAAGAGGGGCCTCAAGCCCAGTTGCACCATTGTGCCGCTGATGAAGAAGGGCCATGCGGACAACCTACAGTTCTTCCTCAGCAACGTGGGCCGGCTGCACCTGGCAGGGTGGGTCTGCGCCCCGCCAGCCCCGGGGACCCCAGCTCTGCCCCCCGCTACCCCCCAGCCCCGGCTCCCCCGGCGGCCATGCTGCCCTTCCCCAGGAGGCCGGCAAGGCCACAGGGTGGTCTCCACTCCACCTTGGTGGTCTCTGGACTCAGGAGTCGGCTGGCAGTGGGTGCGACAGGGTGGTCCCAGGGCCGGGGCGCCCCTAACCACTTCCCCACCCTCAGCATTGACATCAACCCCAACGGCCTGTTCCCGCCTGTGGAGTTTCCCGCTCCCCGAGGGACCCCTCTCATCTCCCCCCACATCAAGTGGGACCACAGCCAGACCTGGGACGTGCCTGCTGCCGAGGACTTCCCCCACGGCCTCAGCTGCTCGTCTGCCACCGTCTACAACATTGGTGAGCTGGGCACGGGGGTGTGAGCTCAGCCCTCTCTCCTGAGCGTGAGCGCTGAACCCTGTGCCCATGCAGACACCAGCCCCGAGTCCCCCAACCACTACCTGCTGGACCACTGCATCGACGGCCGCGTCATCTTCCCGGCCTCCGGCTACCTGTGCCTGGCCTGGAGGACACTGGCACGCACCCTGGACCAAAGCATGGAGCACATGCCCGTGGTGTTTGAGGACGTGGCGCTGTACCAGGCCACTATCATGCCCAAGACGGGTAAGGCGGAGTGGCCGGGAGGAGCCGAGGGGAGAGCAGATGGCTGAGCCCTGCTGACCCCGGTTGTGCTGCCCACAGGGTCTGTGCAGCTGGAGCTGCGGCTCTTGGAGGCCTCCCACGCCTTCGAAGTCTCTCACAACGGCAGCCTGCTTGTGAGCGGTGAGCTGGGCGCCGAGGCTGCAGGGTCCCCGCCAGGCCTCTCTGGGTGGGCCCTCGGCCCCCAGCTCACCTCTCCCCGCCCTCGGGCCCTTCTGCCACCTGCCCATAGGGAAGGTGTACCAGTGGGAGGACCCAGACCCCAAGCTCTTCGACTACTGGGAAGGCCTGGACACTGCCGACCCCGCCGATGCTGCCGACCCCGCCGACCCCTTGGCCGCGTTCCATCTGACCCAGTCCGAGGTGTACAAGGAGCTGCGGCTGTGGGGCTTTGACTACGGCCCAAACTTCCAGAGCATCTTTCAGACCAACCTCAAAGGTGGGGCATGAGGGGGTTCTGCCTGGTGTCCAGGTGCCACATGACTGTTGTGGCCCAAACCAGGTGATGGGTAGGACATTGTAGGTCGAGGGGCCACAGGTACGTGGTGCGGGTGCCCGGCCGCTGACAGCCCCTGTGCCACAGGCAGCAAAGGCCAGCTGCTGTGGCAGGACAACTGGGTGACCTTCCTGGACGGCATGCTGCAGATGTGCATCATCAACTACAACGCCCACAGCCTGCGCCTGCCCACCCGCATTGGCACCATCCACATCGACCCTGCCTCCCACCGGCAGAAGGCGTACGCAGTGCCGGGCGAGGCCCAAGGTAGCATGGCCCCTGCACACCTGTGCGCCCTCACTGCGCCCCCTGGCGCTGCCCACGCTTACGGGGTGTCCCCACAGTGGTCGACGTGACGGTGAGCAGCTGTCTGAACAGCGCGGTGGCGGGGGGCGTCCTGATGTCCAGACAGCACAGCTCGGCAGCCCCGCGCCGGCAGCAGGACCAGTTGGCACCTGTCCTGGAGAAGTTCTGCTTCACGCCGCACGTGGAGGGCCGGTGCCTGGCGGGGAACGCGGCCCTGGAGGAGGAGCTGCAGCTGTGCTGCGGTGAGGCCCCCCAGCCCGGCCCACACAGCCCGCTGCCGGGACCTGGTCTAGCTCTGCGCCCCCCGTCTCCAGATGACAGCTCTGGTCCCTCGTCGCCCTCCCCACACCCAGCCCCTCAGGGCAGGGCAGCGGCTGGGGACCCGAGTGCACTGAACTCACTGTGGAGACCCATCCTCTGTGGGGCTCGTGTCCTATGGGGGACACAGTGCCTTCTTTCCTCAGGCCCTCGACAGTCGATGCCAGTTCTGAGCCCTGGGGGGCAGGGCTGGGCAGTAGACCCCAGGTCAGGGCCAGAGTGTCCGGGGGCCTGGGACACCAGCCCAGCTGAAGCCCCTCTCTTGTGCCCGTCCCTTCCCTAGGGTTGGCAAAGGTGCTACAGAGCAAGGTGGCCCGACAGGGGCTGAAGATGGTGGTGCCTGGGCTGGATGGGGCCCAGGCTCCCCAGAAACTGCCGCAGCAGGGCCTGGCTCAGCTGCTGGCTTCCATATGCCAGCTGGATGGGAACCTGCAGCTGGAGCTGGGCCAGGTTCTGGTCCGTGAGAGGCCCCTGCTGCATGGCGACCCTCTGCTCAACGGCCTCCTCGACTCCCCGGCGCTCAAGGCCTGTGTGGACACTGCCCTGGAGAACACAGCCAGCCTCCGGATGAAGGTGGTGGAGGTGGGTGCTGAGCAGGGCCGTCAGCGCTGTGTACTAGGTCCAGGCTGATCCAAACCTAAGGCGCCAGGGCCCCAGCTGATGGGAGGTCACCAGCTGGCCCAAGACGAGGCAACCATTTCCATTGCCCTCCCGTTCCCCCCCAGAGAAGGGGCACAGGGATGTCGCCGGAGGTGGTGGGTGGACCTTTCTGACAGACACTCCCCTGGCCTGGGTCAGGATGCCTGCCTCAGGGCAGCTGGTCTAGAAATCTGCCCCCTGCCCCCAGGTGCTGGCTGGCGATGGCCACCTGTACTCCCGCATCCCCGCACTGCTCAACATCCAGCCCATGCTGCAGCTGGACTACACGGCCACTGACCGCTACCCTCAGGCCCTGGAGTTTGCCCAGGCCAAACTGCAGCAGCATGGCGTGGTCCAGGGCCAGTGGGATCCCACAGGTCCTGCCCCCAGCAGCCTGGGTGCTGCTGACCTCCTGGTGTGCAACTGTGCGGTGGCCACCCTCAGGGACCCGGCCACGGCCCTCTGCAACATGGCAGCTGCCGTCAAGGAGGGGGGCTTCCTGCTGCTGCACACCCTGCTCAGGGGGCACCCCTTGGGGGAGATAGTCTCCTTCCTGACCTGCCCTGAGCCGCAGCCAGGCAGGCTGGGCCTCCTGAGCCAGGACGAGTGGGTGAGCCTGTTTGCTGGGGTGCCCTTGCACCTAGTGGCTGTGAAGAGGTCCTTCTACGGCTCTGTGCTCTTCCTGTGCCGCCGGCCAGCCCCGCAGGGCAGCCCCATCTTCCTGCCCGTGGAGGACACCAGCTTCCAGTGGGTGGACTCCCTCAAGGTCAGTCCCCACCGCCCCCTGCCCCAGGCCTAGCCGACTTCAACACTGCACACATGGCCCAGGGGCCCCCCAGAGACCAGCCCTTCCTTCCTCTCGCAGAACATTCTGGCTGACTCCTCTTCCCGGCCTGTGTGGCTGACAGCAGTCAGCGGCACCTCGGGCATCGTGGGCATGGTCAACTGTCTCCGCAAAGAGCCCGGCGGCCATCGGGTCCGGTGAGAGATGCCACTGAGCTGTGCGCCCCTCTCTCCACTCCTGTGCCCCCAACCAGCCCCCTCACTGATCTGGCTACCCACAGGTGCATCCTGGTGTCCAACCTCAGCAGCACGTCCCCCGTCCCCAAGGTGGACCCAGGTTCCGCAGAGCTGCAGGAGGTGCTGCAGGGGGACCTGGTGATGAACGTCTACCGCGACGGGGCCTGGGGGGCTTTCCGCCACTTCCCACTGGAGCATGGTGAGCCCCGGGCTCCTCTCTCTGCAGCTGGGCCGCTGAGCAGGGGCTGGGCCTTCCCATCCAGCCTGGGCCGTGCGCGGCCCTCTAGCAGCCCTGCTTCCTGTTCCCCCAGACCAGCCGGAGCAGCAGACAGAGCACGCTTTCATAAACGTTCTCACTCGAGGGGACCTCTCCTCCATCCGCTGGGTCTGTTCCCCGCTGCGCCACGTCTCAGTTGCCAGCCCTGGTACCCAGCTCTGTACCGTCTACTACGCCTCCCTGAATTTCCGGGACATCATGCTGGCCACGGGCAAGCTGTCCCCTGACGCCATCCCAGGTACGGGCGGCACTCGGGGGGGGGGGGGGGCAGAGCACCGGGCTTGGGGAGGTGGAGGGAGGGTCCTTGTCTGAGGTGCTCGGGATCTGGGGCCCGGTGGCTCACCCGCCGTCTGCCCCCAGGGAAGTGGGCGTCCCGAGACTGCCTGCTGGGCATGGAGTTCTCTGGCCGAGACGCCAGCGGCAGACGTGTGATGGGGCTGGTGCCCGCAGAAGGCCTGGCCACCTCCGTGCTGCTGTCCCAGGACTATCTGTGGGACGTGCCCTCCACCTGGTGAGTCACTTGGGTCTGAGCCTGGCCCCACAGACATGGCCGGGGTCGTGCCTGAGTGACGGCTCTGTGCCTGCAGGACCCTGAAGGAGGCGGCCTCAGTGCCCGTCGTCTACACCACCGCCTACTACGCACTGGTGGTACGAGGGCGCCTGCAGCGCGGGGAGACGGTGCTCATCCACTCGGGCTCAGGCGGCGTGGGCCAGGCTGCCATCGCCATCGCCCTCAGCCTGGACTGCCGCGTCTTCACCACCGTCGGTGAGCCGGCGGCCCTTGCCGAGCCTGGGCACCCGCCAGCCCTGCAGCCGGGGCTCACCATGCGCCTTTCCCCACCAGGCTCAGCCGAGAAGCGGGCATACCTCCAGGCCAGGTTCCCCCAGCTCAGTGACACCAGCTTTGCGAACTCCCGGGACACATCCTTTGAGCAGCACGTGCTTCTGCACACAGCTGGGAAGGGTTCGTGGCCCTGGGCGCCCTGCACCCCCACCCCACCTGCCCTCATCCCTCCTCCAGCCCTCCTCCAGCCCACTCCCCACTGGCCAGGCAGCGAAGGGTGCGTGCCCACCAGTGGCAGTGGCCGTGAGAACCCTGCTCCCCTCCAGGTGTGGACCTGGTCCTGAACTCCCTGTCGGAGGAGAAGCTGCAGGCCAGCGTGCGCTGCCTGGCCCAGCACGGCCGCTTCCTGGAAATCGGCAAATTCGACCTTTTCAACAACCACCCGCTGGGTGAGGCCTGGCTGCAGGCGGGTGTGGGCCAGGGGCAGGGTGCGGTCCCCGGGCAGCACGTGGGCAGAGGGGTGAGTCCTCTGCCCGCCCGCCCACAGGCATGGCCGTCTTCCTGAAGAACGTGACCTTCCACGGGATCCTGCTGGACTCGCTCTTCGAAGAGTCCAGCACTGACTGGCGGGAGGTGGCAGCACTGCTGCAGGCGGGCGTCCAGGCGGGCGTGGTGCGGCCCCTCCAGTGCACCGTGTTCCCCAAGGACCAGGTGGAGAACGCCTTCCGCTTCATGGCGCAGGGGAAGCACATCGGCAAAGTGGTGGTGCAGGTGAGGGCCCTGGGTGCCCCGGCCCGGCCCGGCCCGGCCCCTCGGACAGTGTGTGAGCCGTGCTGCTTGGGCTGCAGGTGCACGAGGAGGAGCAGGAGGCCGTGCTGCAGGGGCCCCGGCCCACCTTGACGGCCATATCCAGGACCTTCTTCCCGGCCCGTAAGAGCTACGTCATCGCCGGGGGCCTGGGCGGCTTCGGCCTTGAGCTGGCTCAGTGGCTCGTCTCGCGAGGGGCCCAGAAGCTGGTGTTGACGTCCCGCTCCGGCATCCGCACAGGTGAGCGGGGCTGAGGGCGTGGGGCAGGGCGGCGCCCGAGGCACCAGGACTAGACAGCCAGCACCCTGTCTCCCGGCCCCACTGCCCCAGGCTACCAGGCCAAGCAGGTCCGAGAGTGGAGGCACCAGGGTATACAAGTGCTAGTGTCCACCAGCAACGTCGGTGCTCTGGACGGGGCCCGGGCCCTCATCGCCGAGGCCGCCCAGCTTGGGCCTGTCGGAGGCGTCTTCAACCTGGCCATGGTGAGTGCACTGCGCAGAGAATGTGCCCCAGCCGGGTCCTCGGAGCCTGGGGCCCAGCCAGACACTGAGGATACTCTTCCCAGGTGCTAAGAGATGCTATGTTGGAGAACCAGACTCCCGAATTCTTCCAGGAGGTCAACAAGCCCAAGTACAGCGGCACCCTGAACCTGGACAGGTAGGGCGTGTGGCCCCACCGGGCATGTGGTCAACTGGCCCGGCATGTGCAGGGAGCAGCTGCCTCTCCGCTGGTCTCCTCGTGGCCACCTGCATGGTGCGCCCAGGGTCCAGGCCCTAGGCCTCTGCTGGGGACAGAACCGAGGATCCAGGGAGGCAGAGTTGGTTCAGCAGGTGGGCAGACGGGCAGCTGGCCAGGGAATGACCCAAGCACCCGCAGGGTGACCCGAGAGGCGTGCCCCGAGCTGGACTACTTTGTGGCCTTCTCCTCGGTGAGCTGCGGGCGTGGCAACGCTGGCCAGACCAACTACGGCTTCGCCAACTCCTCCATGGAGCGCATCTGCGAGAAGCGCAGGCAGGACGGCCTCCCAGGTAGGCCGTGCCCCCCCGCCCGCCTGCCACCACGACGGCCACCTGGTCGGCCCGCTCACCGTCGTCTCCCCTGCAGGCCTGGCTGTGCAGTGGGGCTCCATCGGGGACGTGGGTGTCATCTTGGAGACCATGGGCAGCAACGAGACGGTCGTCGGCGGGACGCTGCCCCAGCGCATCATCTCCTGCCTGGAAGTGCTGGACGTCTTCCTGAACCAGCCGCACCCCGTGCTGAGCAGCTTTGTGTTGGCTGACAAGGCGGCCGCCGTGCGCAGTGACGGTGACGGCCAGCAGGACCTGGTGAAGGTCGTGGCTCACATCCTGGGTGAGGGCCCATTTCCCACAGAGCGAGGCACGTGGGGTCTGTGCGGGGTGGTGAGAGCTGGTGCCGTGACTGTGGCCTGATGGTTTACGGAGAGAAGGGGCCTGACCAAGAAGCCCAGCCACCAAGGTGCCGGCGCCCACCCACTGGGCCCGCCCCATTCCCCTTCCCAAATAGCCAACCTAGCACCTCTCCCCAGGCATCCGAGACTTGGCTTCTGTCAAACTGGACAGCTCGCTGGGGGACCTGGGCCTGGACTCACTCATGGGCGTGGAGGTGCGCCAGGCGCTGGAGCGGGAGCACGACCTGATACTGTCCATGCGGGAAATCCAGCAGCTGACGCTCCGCAAGCTGCAGGAACTCTCGGTGCAGGCCAGCTCGGCCAAAGGTGGGCGTGGGGGGCGGGGGCGGGGCCGCTGGGCCCACGGGGGGTGGGGGGTGGGGGACGGCCGGCCTCTTTCTGGGTTATGGGGCATCTCAGGAGCATCACAATTCCGCCCTCAGTGCTGTTGGCCTGTGGGCAGCTAGACCCCCCCAGATCAGGGCTAGTTTATCTGGTCCTTCCCTGAGTACTCAGTGGGGCCCAGAGCCCCACACAACTCCCCACGACAGCAGTTGAGCCAGGTCTGTGTGTGTGTGGACATACACGTGGGGTGCTGTGGGCACTGGCCCGCCATGGCATCTGCTTCTCCCCACAGAGCTGGCAGCCCCCACACCCAAGGAGGACAGCCCTGCCCGGCAGCAGGCCCTACTGAACCTGAGCACCCTGTTGGTGAACCCCGAGGACCCAGTCTTGACGCGGCTCAACTCTGTGCAGAGCTCTGAGCGGCCCCTGTTCCTGGTGCACCCCATCGAGGGCTCCACGACTGTGTTCCACAGCCTGGCCACCAAGCTCAGCATCCCCACCTATGGTCTGCAGTGCACCCAGGGTGCGTCTGGGGCCTGTGGGGCGGCCCCGACCCAGCGAGGTGGGGTGGCTGCCTGTGGGGGTCCTGAGGCACCCACCCACACTGAGCCTCTGCTACTCTGCAGCCGTGCCCCTGGACAGCATCCAGAGCCTGGCTGCCTACTACATCCGGTGCATCAAGCAGGTGCAGCCGGAGGGTCCCTACCGCATCGCTGGCTACTCCTACGGGGCCTGCGTGGCCTTCGAGATGTGCTCGCAGCTGCAGGCGCAGCAGAGCCCTGCCTCCGCGCACAACAGTCTCTTCCTGTTCGACGGCTCCCACACCTACGTGCTGGCCTACACGCAGGTGAGAGCAGCTCCCCGCCAGCCGCGGCCCAGGTCCCAGATCCCCTTTTCTTCACACAGCCCCTCCTCCCCGTGCAGAATTACCGCGTCCGTGCGAAGCTGACGCCCGGCTGCGAGGCGGAGGCTGAGACCGCGGCCCTGTGCTTCTTCGTGCAGCAGTTCACAGACGCCGAGCACAGCAGGGTGGGTCCCGGGGCAGGGCCCGGGGTGGGCCTTCCCGGGGCCACAGCAGAGCCCACTCAGAGTCCTGTCCTGCCCACAGGTGCTGGAGGCACTGCTGCCGCTCCCCAGCCTGGAGGAGCGCGTGGTGGCCGCTGTGGACCTGATCGCGCAGACCCACTCGGGGCTGGACCGCCCTGCGCTCACCTTCGCAGCTCGCTCCTTCTACCAGAAGCTGCGCGCAGCTGAGCAGTACACACCTCGGGCCACCTACCATGGCAACGTGACGCTGCTCCGAACCAAGACGGGTGGCGCCTATGGCGAGGACCTTGGTGCCGACTACAACCTGTCCCAGGTGTGTGACGGCAAGGTGTCTGTGCACATCGTCGAGGGTGACCACCGCACCCTGCTGGAGGGCAGCGGCCTCGAGGCCATCCTTGGCATCATCCACAGCTCCTTGGCCGAGCCGCGCGTTAGCGTGCGGGAGGGCTAGCCTGTGCCCACCGTCCCTGGGCTGGGAGGTCCTGCCGGTGGGGCCCCAGCCTGTACCCTGAGCCACTGCCCGGGGTGGCCACTAGAAGTAGGACTGGTGCCTGACCCACCCCTGGGCACCTTCCGCGTGGCCACCTTGGCTGCCACCTCCCACACGGGTGCGGGGCCGGGACCCGCGCCGCCGACTTGGAGACCTCCCTGGTCTGTGAAGAGTCGGCCAAGCCCGGCGCAGCCCGAGCCCGGAACCACGCGGTCTGCACAGGGCATGCGCGGTCTCCACTTGGGTTCTATTTATTGCATCGCTGGGGAGCTGCCAGGGCCGTCCCTGGTGCTGCCGGGGCTGCCTGGGCCTGGCCAGCCATGACGCAGCGGGCAGTGGGGCGCCGGGCACCCCCTCTGTTCTCTGTTAGCTTTTTTCAAGAAACATGATTCACGTTGCTGCTCAGATTTTGAAACTTACTATACCTGTCAGTTCAAAGAGCCTTGTCTGGACCTGTTTCATTTTTATACCAACTTGGTAAAAGTGCTGCTTTCCTCCTGGACCCTTCACATTTAAACCCCACGAACCCCGGAGGGACCCTTCTGCCCCCGGGCCCGCCTGGTGCCCTACAGGAAGCAGGAGCCCAGGATCCACATCAGGCGCGTGGGAAGGGGTCACAGGCAGCAGTGATGGTGGGGACCCCACGCCTCTTGCCAGAGCCCCTGTTCTTCAGGGCAGCCCGGTCTGCTCCCCAGGGCACCCATGCTTGGGGGAGTTCTTCCCGCTTCCAGAACAGTCTGTCTGAGGTCAGCTGGTTGTGGGTGGGAGTCGCGTGGCAGAACACCCATGCAGCAACACCTAACGCGTCCACACGGTGTGCCAAGTCTAGTGTCAGGCTGACGGTCACAAGGGCTCGGGCAAGGGAGTGGAGGCTGGGAGGACAGGTGAGCGGGGGTTGTCCCCCTGAGCACCAAGGGGTGAGGTGAGTGCCCTGGGGTGGGGTTTCTGGGCTGACTGGATGTGAGCTGCACAGAGCTGGACCCTGGGAGGGGTGCAAGGTTTGGGACAAAAGGGGGGCTGGGGAGCAGGCCCACCTCAGCTTCCAGAAGGATGTGTGGAATCCAGACAGCAGGGCTTACGTGTTCCTAAGAAAGTTCAGTGGCATTACCTTCTGAGACAACAATTTCACTCCTGGTATGTGCCGTGCCCCAAAAGAGTTGAAAACGGGCTCAACCCCACCGCTCTAACCAGTGATCACGGCAGCACAGCCACCGGCGGGTGCGGCCCAGGTGTGCGTGGGCGGGCGTGTGCTAAAGGGTGGCGTGTCCTTGGGCCACAGGAAGGAAGTTAGTGCTGACACAGGCTGCAATGTGAATTGAGGGGAGGGCTCTCGCCCTGGCTGGTGTGGGTCAGCAGTTAGAGCTTCGGCCTGCAGACTGAAGAGTTGGGTTCGACTCCTCTTGGGCATGTACCTCAGCTGCGGCTTGGCCCTGGGCAGGTCATGTGGGAAGCAACCAGTTGGTGTGTTTCACGTTGCTGTTCTCTCTCTTCCACTCTATCTGAAGATAAAGGGGAAAAATCCTCTGATGAAGATTTTTTAAAAAGTGGAAGGATCTCTGGAGTTGGTTTCTTTTTTTTTTATTCTCACCCAAGGACATTTTTCCATCCTTTGTTCAGATAGAGTTGGTGGGGGGGAGAGATATCGACGTGAAAGGGTCACATTGAGTGGCTGCCACCCGCACGACCAACCAGGGCCGGGGACAAACTGCAACCGAGGTACATGCCCTTAGAGGGAACTGAACCCGGGTCTCTGGACCACAGGCCAGCGCTCTAACCACGAGCATACCGGCCAGGGCTGGAGTTGGTATCTTAATATCAAAGGTTACAGAGCAAACGTACATTGGGGACAGCGGGCCGTTCCAGAGAGTCCAGTGGAGATGATGACCCTGAACTTCCCGTAGTGAAACAGCTCCACACCACGAGCAAAGGCTACACAGCCGTCCTCGCCACGCCGCGCTTCAGCGTTCGCGGCTTCACTCATTTGCGGTTTTTTTCAAATATATTCGTTAAAGAGTGGATTGAGACAGTGAAAATGATACAGCACATGCTTGGTTGAGTCAATTATACACCCCTGTATTACAATCACTGTACGTAAGGGCTGTAGGCCTATGTATTCGAGCACCCAGGAATCCTTCAACGCCGGTGCAACCGCTAGAGTCTGGAACGGATTAACCGTGTTAAACGAGACCCAAAAGGAGACACGAGCAAGTCTGTCATTAAGGCTGCAGCTCCCCAGCCCTGCCCTCCGTCAGCGGTAGGAGGAGGCTGGTGGGTGAGGCTGGAGCAACTGGAGCCTCTGCAGCCCCTGTGCCCTGACGCCTGGCTCCACCCACAGCATGTGCGTCCTTCTCGCCCGGGAACAGTTACCAGGAGGGGCCACATGGAACTAGTCACTGAATTCCAAAGAACTCATCTTTTTTTTTTTTTTTTTATCACCCGAGGATATTTTTCCATTTTTTGTACAGATAGAGTGGGAGGGAGAGAGAGGAAGGGGGAGAGAGAGAGGGAAACATCGACATGAAAGGGACACATCGAGTGGCTGCCACCCACACGACCAACCAGGGCCGGGGACAAACTGCAACCAAAGTACGTGCCCTTAGCGGGAACCGAACCCGGGTCTCTCCGGACCGCAGGCCGACGCTCTAACCGCTGAGCCAAACTGGCCAGGGCTCATCTTTTTTTTTTTTTTTTATCAACGTTTTTCCATTTTTTGTTCAGAGTGGGAGGGAGAGAGAGAAACATCGACGTGAAAGGGACACATTGAGTGGTTGCCACCCACATGACCCAACCAGGCCCGGGGACACACTGTAACTGAGTACGCGCCCTTAGCGGGACCCGAACCTGGGTCTCTGGACTGCAGGCCGACACTCAACCGCTGTGCCAAACTGGCCAGGGCAGAATTCATCTGTTTCTAATTTGTTTTTTTTTGTTGTTCTTTTTTTTTCTTTATTGATTTTAGAGGGAGAGGGAAAGAGAAACAGAAGCATCGATGAGAGAGAACATCGACTGGCTGCCTCCTGCACGCCCCCCCAACTGGGATCGGGCCCACAACCTCAGCATGTGCCCTGACCGGGAATTGAACCAGCGACCTCTTGGTGCATGGGGTGATGCTCAACTACTGAGCCACACAGGCTGAGACTATTCAATTTCTATAAAATATTTTACCACAGCTGCATAAAATTAGAATCAATAGTAAAATGGTCTTGACTATCCTCAAATATTTTGAAATCAAATCACACTTAAATAACTCAGGTTAAAGAGGAAATCAAGCCCTGGCTGGGTTTGCTCAGTGGTTAGAGCGTCAGCCTGCAGACCAGAGAGACCGGAGTTCGGTTCCATCTTAGGGCATGTACCTCAGTTACAGTTTGTCCCTGCCCTGGTTGGGGTTGTGTGGGTGGCAGTTGATGTGTCTCTCTTAGGTTAATTTTTCTCTCTCCCTCCTGCTCTATCTGAAGATAAATGCAAAAATGTTCTCAGGTGAGATTAAAAAGAAGAAATCAAAATGGAGATTAAGGTTTTGAATTGAGTGAAAATGGCATAAAAACTTGTGGGATTTGCCTGATGTGGTGCTTCGGGGAAATCTGGGGCACTAAAGGCAATGTCAAAAGAAGTTTCTCAAATACATGACTTCAAATTCTACCTTAAGAAACTAAAAGACAGCCCTGGCCGGTTTGCTCAGCGGTTAGAGCATCGGCCTGCGGCCCGGAGAGACCCAGGTTCGGTTCCCGCTAAGGGCACGTACTTCGGTTGCAGTTTGTCCCCGGCCCTGGTTGGTTGTGTGGGTGGCAGCCACTCGATGTGTCCTTTTCACATCGATGTTTCTCTCTCTCTCTTCCTCTCTCCCTCCCACTCTACCTGAACAAAAAATGGAAAAATGTCCTCGGGTGAGGATGATAAAAAATAAAAAACAAATGTGGCCCAAAGTAAGCAAAACAAGAGGAACTAAAACACCAGTAAAAATCAAGAAAACAGAATGAATGAAACCTAAAGTAGGTCTTTGAAAACCATTAATTTATCATCCTTAAGCCAGATAGAACTGGGGGCAGGGGGGCACAATATCAAGAATGACATGTGGTTCTGGCTGGTTAGGCTCAATGGTTAGAGTCGTCCCACAGACCAATGAGTCTCACGTTCAATTCCGGTCAAGGGCACGTACCTCAGTTGCTGTTCAGTCCCCAGCCCTGGTTGGGGTTGTGCAGGAGGCATCCAATCGATGTGTCTCACATCCATGTTTCTTTCTCCCTCTCTCTCTCTCACTCCCTCCCTCCCTCCCACTCTATCTGAAGATAAATGAAAAAATACTCTCAGGTGAGGATTAAAAAGAAGGGTGACATGACAACACTAAGGTTACACATATAAAGGAATATTATGAAAAATTTTACGCCACACAACTGAAATGAAATGAGCAAATTCCACACAAGGTGAAGACAGACAGCCTGAATAATCCTGCATCCATTGAAGAAAACGATTTTGTAGTTTAAAGCTTTTCCACAGGAAAAAACCTCCAAACCTGAATGGCAAATTGTGCCAAACAGTTAAGGAAAATATGTTCTGCATGATACACAAAACTCTTCTGAGTTTCTGGAGAGAAAGCCAGTCAGTTCAAAAGAATTCAACTCACATGAAATGGTTGGGGGATGTCTTAGTCTGCTTGGCCGCCGTAACAAAATAGTACAGACTGAGGGACTCAAACAACAGAAATTCGTTTCCTCGTAGTTCTCACAGGCTGGGGAGGCCGGAATCCAGGCTCCTGCCGACTTGGTTGCTGGTAAGAGCCCCCAGCCAGCTTGCAGACCACTGCACAGGGCCTGCCAACCCTTTCTCTCCCTGCGAGGACCCCAGTCCTATGAGATCAGGGCCTCACACTATGACCTAATTTAACATTTATGACCTATGTATAGGCCCCATGTCAAAATGCAGTCAGCCCTGGCCGGTTTGGCTCAGCGGTTAGAGCGTTGGCCTGCGGTCCGGAGAGACCCGGGTTCGGTTCCCACTAAGGGCACGTACCTCGGTTGCAGTTTGTCCCCGGCCCTGGTTGGTCGTGCGGGTGGCAGCCACTCCATGTGTCCCTTTCACATCGATGTTTCCCTCTCTCTCTCTTCCTCTCTCTCCCTCCCACTCTGTCTGTACAAAAAAATGGAAAAATGTCCTCGGATGAGGATTAAAAAAAAAAAAAAATGCAGTCACATCAGGGGTTAGGGCTCCAACGTGGATTTGAGGAAGACACAATTCAGCCTATAGCGAAGGAGCAATAGACAATTTTGATACCAAAACCTGGTAAAGACACTCAAAGGAAACCACTGCTATCCATCATGATCCTACGTGCAAAAAATCCAAACAAAAGACATGCAAACGGCGTCATGCGCTACAATAGAGACAACAGACGGTGACCAAGCAGGCTCCACCCTAGCACTCCAAGGCTCGTTCCACACC